ACACTGGATATCCTGCATAGGCATGCCTGGCGGCACCTGAACTTCAGTGAATACCTCCTCCAAGGTCTGGTACCACTGGCCCCACAGCATCCCACATGGAACCACCCCACTGCGCTCCTCAAACAGGGCCAACATTCTCCAGTAGCTTCCCCACTGCAGCCCCAGGGAGCGAGGTTATACTGCTTTAACACAGGGCAATACACTCTGTACAAATTGATAGACATCAAGTGATTTGACTAAGTTAAATATATTTATTATTTTCTTTCTTATATGTGAACAAATTATATTTTGAGATACTATTGGTAGTCTTCTAGATAATGTATCAATCCTGGTATTTTACAAGGGAACTACACTAGTCATTATCTTCCATAACTTGTTTCATTTCCCTTTGTTTCATTGTCTTGTTACTTTTGTTTTATTTATTTTATTTATTTATTTATCTAATAAATTTTATTTATTTATTTATTTATTTGCTTGTTTTATTTATTTATTTATTTTTAAAAATTTTTTTAAAATTTATTTATGATAGTCACAGAGAGAGAGAGGCAGAGACATAGGCAGAGGGAGAAGCAGGCTCCATGCACCAGGAGCCCGACGTGGGATTCGATTCTGGGTCTCCAGGATCGCGCCCTGGGCCAAAGGCAGGTGCCAAACCACTGCGCCACCCAGGGATCCCCAAGATACTATTTTTAAATCTTCAAAACAGATTTCAACTTAGGAGAACTTCCCTCCATAATTACCTTACATTTGCATTTTGTTCAGTTATATTTTGTATTCTAAATCCTTGCCATGGGTAATCTTATAGCCACATTATAAGTGAGCTGATTTCATATGTTCACAAAAACACACTGAGTGCATACCAGGCACTGGGCTATATGCTGGGGAAACAGGAACGTACATTTCCTGCCCTCATGGAGTTTTCTAATCTGATTGGAGAAGAAAGACAATTAAATGATTAAGAATGATATGAAATGTGTTAGATTACAGTAGGAAATAACAGAGTGTTCTTAATGTACGGCATGGAAGTACCTAGCCTGGAGGAAGTGACACTATCCTAAGAGTAATGGGAAGCTTTGTAGAGCTTTATAATTAATTCTGTATAAATGGATGCTGTGTATAGAATGGATTGCATAGGGACAAGCCTGATGAGGAACAAGACTAGATGTTTAGCTTTTATTATCCAGAAAAGTGAAGATGATGGATGGGAATAGCATAAAGATTTTCAGAGAGAATTGACATACTGACAGTAGGGTAGATAAGGGAATGAGGTAAAAAGGAAAATCAAAGACGACTGTTAAAAATTCTTGTTTAATTTTTTGAAATCATCTGGCAGTGAATTCTAGAGAATGATCCAAACTGACAGGTTAAAAGATATGTATGTGACATGATTTTTTTATCACTTATAAAGGTAATTTATCCATTTAGATCCTTATACACCCTGGGAGAAAATTACTAAAGTAATGTACAATCCAGAGACTAACTTCTAAAAGTAGCTTTTTTTTTTTAAAATTTTTTTATTTATTTATGATTGTCACACAGAGAGAGGCAGAGACATAGGCAGAGGGAGAAGCAGGCTCCATGCACCGGGAGCCTGACATGGGATTCGATCCCTGGTCTCCAGGATTGGCGCCTGCCTTTGGCCCAGTGGAGTTTAATTTTGCATTTCTATGGGGGCAGGTGTTCTCTGTTGCTGATAAAGCAGGTCCAGATGGTTTGTCAACCAATACTTGACTATGGGGTTGGCATGCCCCAATAAAAACGTAACACAATCTACAATATATGCCTGAAGCATAGATGATGATTCAAACTTTGCTCTGAAATGAGCCTGTGTAGTACCTTCAGTCAGGGTCAGATTCTCCTTATTTGGACATAGGACATATGGTTTGGTGTCATAGCAGATAGTAACGATATTAACTTGCATAATTCAAAGTAATGACATCCGTTACCTATTGTATCCCTTAAAAAAATAAAATCCAGTAAGGTACTATCAAAGAATTCATTTTTAGCAGTATAACTTTCTTATGGCCTTCTAAGATTGATTTAAAAAGTATATCTTGGGGAAACTAAGTTTATCTGTTACATAGAACAGTTAGAAATAAGTCAAATATTGGATGACCTGTACTAAAAATGATTGAGTTTTAGAGAAGTTGCCTTTAATCTTCTGATGGAAAATAGATAATTTTTCCCCCTATTGAAGTTCTAGTAATAAGATTCTAAGAGTACAGAGGCTGCATTTTAGATAAAGGAATAGTAGTGAAATCAACTTCCTTTCAAAAGCACAGGTATTTGCATTCACTTGAATAGATTATGGCAAAATTATTTCTAATAATAGATGTTCTTCTGTTCTTAGTTTGCTGCATTTAAGTGAATACTGGGAGATAACAAAACCCAACATGTTAGGTTGCTGGCTGTATAATTTACTAATTACATAATAAGGTCTTAGTTGTTTGCCAGTTATAACTGAATTCACCATGATTAATCTATGCTGAAATGAAGAACACGATTAAATGATAATATTGGACTAAATCATCTCCTTAGGTTAGTTATTTAAAATTATGGAATTCTTATGCCAATTTTAAGCTTGGATTTTGAGTTCCTCTTTGCTCAAGGGTTTCATAACTGCTTCCTTAACTACTTTGTTTTTTTTAACTATGAAAAACTTAAATTTGTTATTTGTAAATAAAATTTGAAATGATGTTACAAGTTCAGCATCTGTCCTAAAACTAAATACAGTAACATAAAAAAGGGACATGTGGGTGGCTCAGTCAGTTAAGCGTCCAACTCTTGATTTTGACTCAGGTCATGATCTCAGCGTGGTTCTGCTAGGCATGGAGCCTGCTTAAGATTTTCCCTCCCTCTGCCCCTCTCACACCTTCTCTCTCTCTCTCTCTTTCTCTCTCTCTCTCTAAAAAAAAAGTACTCATCACCTCATCCACCTCAGGTTGGGGTGGTTGGGCCTGTTGGGCCTGTGAAAAAAAAAGTACTCGGTAAGATTTCTGGATTCTTCACTTCTTAATATTCTTTTTTGTTTTTTTTTAAAGATTTTTATTTTTATTCATGAGAGAGAGAGAGAGAGAGGCAGAGACACAGGCAGAGGGAGAAGCAGGCTCCATGCAGGGAGCCCGATGTGGGACTCGATCCCAGGTCTCCAGGATCATGCCCTGGGCTGAAGGCGGTGCTTAAACCGCTGAGCTACCCGGGCTGCCCCACTTCTTTATATTCTGTAGAACTCAGGAAATTTTTGTTTAGCACATGAATTCTGGCATTTTTACTATTAAGCTTTGCAGTAAGTTAACTTGTTACAAAAGTATGAAAAAAAGACTTACTGGCACTGGAACAAAAAGTGTAGCCTTGGCTTGGCATTCTTAGATGTTGAAAAATAATTATTTTGAAAAGAGAATGAGCATTCATGTAGAGTTTCATCCCTAGTTTATTTATCAGGAGACTCTATGTGCCTACTGTGACTGAGATCATTTCCAGGTTAACTAACTTTCTTTGAGGTTTCCAATAAGAATGAAGAAGGGGAAGTCTAGGAAAATATTTGTTTTTTTCTTTAAAATCAATAGGTTTTAAAAATTAAAAAAGAAAAAGAAACTGTTACACATCAAATGCTTTCTGAAAGTTATCTTCTATGGTGTGGAAAACATTTCGACATGGATAATTTATTGAAGCTCTGCTATACCTAGAACTGGAAGGTTTGGAAAGAGATGTGATTTGGAATCTTAAACAAAAATTATTTTTAATAAAAGAAAAGTTGTTTTGGTGATCAAACTGAAGTACTTAAAGGAATTCTCCTAAAACTCTAAAGGAAATAGACCCTTTGCAAGAGGAATATAGAAAAGTAAGCAAAGTGGAAAATGAAATAAAGCATTTTTTTTTGAAATAAAGCATTTTTAAATAGACATTTTGTGATTAAGATTTACTTTAAATTTATATTGCACATCCTTTCAAAGGCTATAACCCCCTACCAATAAACCATTTCAAGTATCTCAATAACAAGGAAGGTAGCCCCTTCTATTACCTACATTTACAGGGAAGAAAATTTGCACCATAGAAGGAATATCTTTTTATTACATAGAGTAAGCAAGGACAGAACAGAGAGCAGCTGCCTGACTTGAGTTCTCTATACATCTCATGTGTTTTGTTTACTTTGTGGACTTCTGCATAATTAGATTATAAATAATGTGTTTTAGTAATGAATTTAAATATCCATATATTTAAAAGACTAGTCCTCAAGACTTTTTTTTAAAAGATTTTACTGATTTGAGATAGAAAGAGAGAGCCTAAGCAGGGGTGAGGGGCCGGGGCAGGAGAGGGAGAGGGCGCCTGGGTGGCTCAGTGGTTGAGTGTCTGCCTTTGGCTCAGGGCATGATCCTGGGGTCCTGGGATCAAGTCCCACATCGGGCTCCCTGCAGGGAGCCTGCTTCTCCCTCTGCCTGTGTCTCTGCCTCTCTCTCTCTCTCTCTCTGTGTCTCTCATGAATAAATACATAAAATCTTAAAAAAAAAAGGAGAGGGAGAACAGACTCCCCTCTGATCAGGGAGCCCAAGTTTGGGCTCAATCCCAGGACCCTGGGATCATGACCTGAGCTAAAGGCAGATGTTTAACTAACTGAACCACCCAGGAGCCCTTAGTCCTCAAGATTTAAAGGCTAAACATCTTTGAAGGTCCATGAAATATATTTTTATTCCTTGAGAGTGAACTGAGACATAAAGCTGAAAGAAATGACCCGAATTACAGCATTACGTTCAGATTTCGTTGTAAAGTCAACCTAGATTGCGTCAGAACTTTGGACAAGTCATGGGAACTGCTGCAGAGGAGAATCCCAAACTTTATTTTAAGGGAAAGGAAGAAGTATTGGAGGGGAAAAGCTCCTATAACCATGAGAAGGGGGTTGCTTCTGCTGTGATCCCTGATAACATTTGAACTAAAAGAAACATCTTATCAGATTGGATAGTTTTCAGTTGTTTTTCTTTTCAATCTTTTCTTTTTATTTACAGTGGATGGAACTGAGGTTCAACACTCTGGCAAAATGCCCACACTGCAAAAAAATGTAAGTTTTACTACCATTGGAAATGCTACTGGGAAGTACTTGAGAACAGTTTAAAGAGCAGAATTCTTACTATGGTAGATTTTGGTTTGAAGATATACCATGGGATGAATGCATACTTAATATATTTATGCTTTCCAAGACAAAAAAAAAACATATCTTTAAGCTGATTAATATGTTCCATTTTGAAATGAAAATGATTGGGCTTGATTATCACTCTCTAAAGGGAAATCAATTTCTAGGAAAGAAATTACTAATATTACCAGTAACCCAGTGAGGATTTACAAATGCCCTAAGAGGTTATAATCTATAGCAAATAATCTAAAATTTATATTTAAAAAATGGACTGTAATTTAGGAGAAGCACCAGTTTTTTGGAAGTTTATAATTAGATAGTTGTTAGCTTTTTAAATTTCCTGTCTAGTGAGACTATTCTCTGAGAGCAAAGTTTATGTAATTTTTTATGTATCTTAACTACTCAGTGTATTTTCCTCTATTCCTAAATAGCGTACCTAAGGAAATTTACAAAAGGTGGTATAAAAATGGTAAAAAAAAATTGGAGATATTTTGATTAAAGACATATTAGGGCAGCTCTGCTGGGGGTGGGTCCCCAGATCACCCCAAGATAATATGATTTTCTAGGAGGATTAATAAGAATTAGTGTATATTTGTACTCACAGCTATGATTTATTACACAAAACAAAATCAGCAAAAGAAAAAGACACAGGGGACAAAGTCTGGAGGACACCAGGTGCAAGTTTCCAAGAGTCCTCTCCTAGTAGAGTCACACATGAAGGGCTTAATTCCTCCAGCAGGGAATTGCCACAACGCAGGTGAAATATTATCAATTGAAGAGGCTCATTAGAGATAGTGTCCAAGGTTTTTATGGGGGCTGGTCACATCGGCACCTACTGCATAGCACACACCAAATTTCTAAACTCTCAGAAAGAAAGCAGGTATTCAGCATAAATCATATTGTTTGCATAAACAATTTAGGCACAGTAGGTCACTCTTATCAATTAGGGAATTGTGGGAACGTTTTAGATATTTAGGTTCACAGATGCCAGCCAAGGGTCAATCTTGAAAGCAGACCTTTCTAAGGATACCTGTTTCAGGCCTGCTATATATGAACTCTTTCTGCACAATATTTATTTTGATAACAAAATTTTAATTTAAAAATTATTGTTCTCCACTTATATGTGTGAACTGTAACTTTAGCTACGGAAATTAAACTGCAGCGGGTTGACAGTTCAGCTTTTAAAACTGAAAATATGAGTACATAGTTTAATCAGTGTGATCCCTAGTATGATATAAACACCTTATCTGTTTTGAGGGATTCCTAATGATTTCTGGGAGAAAAGAACTGAGAAGTGTCTGAGTAAAGTATGTGTAACAAAATTTCTCCGTTTATCTCTGCTGGATCTAATTCCAACTGAATATAGCCTTGTAAGGATAACTTCTTCACAGCGTATTTCTAGGTTCAGAAGAACAGACATTTCCTTTTTTTTTTTATTTATTTGTGAAATTAATCAACTGAATTCTTGACTTTGTCGAATCCAGTAGAAATCTGTACATGAGAAGCAAAGTGGATAACCTCAAATACTACACAGAAAAAGATATACTTGAGAGACACTTCCATTCACATGTATGTGAAAATATGTGAATGATCCATATTTTGTGCGTTATCTATATTTTCACAAAAATGAAAAAAATTAAATTGCAAATATCTTCACCAAAAAGATTAAATTGGATGAAAAATTCTATGGAATTAAAAATTCTGTGGCACCTACGTGGCTCAGTCCATTAAGCACCCAACTCTTAGTTTCAGCTCAGGTCATGATCTCATGAGTTGTGAGATTGAACCCCATGTGAGGCTCGAGCTCAGCATGGAAACTGCTTGGGATTCTCTGCCTCCCCTTCTGCCCCTTTGTGGTGCATGCATACACTAGCACTCTCTCTCTCTCTCTCTCTCTCTAAAAAAAAATAAAGTCTTTAAAAAAATCAAATAAAAATCTACGGAAGATAAAAACCAGAAACTTCTTGTGATTAGTAGACTGTATGCTAAGTACAGTGATGGTTACTTTATACACAGAGATCTACTAGCTGTAATCCTTCCAGCAATCCTGGAACACAGGAATTATTATCCTCATTTTACAGATGAGGAACTGTTAGTGAGATTAAGGATTTTGCTTAAGTGATTTGCTTGGGTAAGTGTTTTAGAACAGTGGCAATACTTTGCTAATAATAAAGAAACGTTGAATGTCCAAATAGTCTATGATTGGTTAAAATTCCACAAGACAGTGTATTCATGTTAAGAATTTGTATCAGTTACTTAAGGAACAGTGTGCATAGAAATTCACATGGAATAAATCTGCTTAAAATCACTCTTAAAGGAACGTTTATGGAATTGGAATCACATGCTAAACATGGGAGGACTCAGGGCATCTGTTACTTATTTGAGTAAAGATGCTGTTATCACATGAACGCTCATGGCTTGTATCTACATTTGTTTTCTCTGAATGTTCTTCTTCATAACAAAATGATGAGTCAACTGTTGAGATAAGATTCTAAGGAATCTTCTTTCTTTTTTTTTAAATTTTCTTAATAGATTTATTTATTTATTTGGGGGGGGTGGAGGGGCAAAGGGAAGGGAAGAGGGAATCCTAAGCAGACTTTGCACTGAGCATGGAGCCCAAAGTGGGCTTGATCCCATGACTCTGAGATCATGAGCTGAAACCAAGAGTCCGATGCTTAATTAACCCTGTGCCACCCAGCCGCCCCAGGAATCTTACTTCTTTAAACACAAGTATAAAACGCGCTAAAACTATGTTGAAGTTATAGAGGTTACTAAATCATTGCTATGAAACCATCACAAAACACGTGCAGGAAAGCTTGCCCCAGTGGCTCCAGGGACCAAGAAGCAGTTTTTCATGTCACTGTTGCCCACTGGGGTGAGCTTGCTCTTTCGGTGAGCTGGGCACCTTGTGGCCACTGCGGGACAGGAGCTGTAGTCCTAGCATGCTGAAATAGTACTTGGTCCACATCGTTATAATAGACCTAAGACTGGTAAAGAGGCTGGTTTAATCCGTGATAATTACTATTGGATATCGTTTCTCCATATCACTGACATACTCCTTTGTGGATCATCCCCTGACATTTAAACGATAGTAGGCTCTTACTCTCTTTTATTTTGCTGTTTCGTGCTTTCTTTTATGATTATCCATGAATTGAGTAGACAGTCTTGTGCGAGGTACCATATGCTTGAAATAAAGGATGTAACCTTGTCTTTGGGGAACTTATTCTTGTGGGTATAGGGGAGAGAATAGTCAAGTACAGTAAAGTTTTAAGTGCTTTGAAAGAGCTACATCTTGCATTTTCTGCTTTCAGAGCCCCGAACCCAGATTAGAGGGAAAGGGGACTTGAAGAGAGGGCTTCCAGTTGGGCGGATGGTATATGAAATAGGTTATTAAAGATGAGTGGGAATCATGTGACAAAAGAAGGCAGGATGGGTCCTGCAGAGGCAGGAAGGAGCTACCTGTGCAGAGGTACAGTGGAGTCAAGGTATATAGATGTGACATTAAGGAAATGGAGCAGAGAGCATTGAATGTGAAGGTATGAGAGCAGTTGGGGTAAAGGACGACTTTCTGACAGGCTATAGAACCATTTGCTAAGATAGGGAATTAGCATCTAGAAGAACTATGTCTGGCAGACACATGCCAAATTCACTTTGAACATAGTAGATATAAAGAGACTCTAGGTGTGCTAGACTGTCTAAATCTTCATCCCTTGAAATTCATATCCATCTACTTTTCAAACCACCGATCCTTGATCAGTATAGCCTTGGCTCCGCCCTGCCTTTACCAAGATAACTGACATCTGAAAATAATTCCGTATTGGTTATCTTTTTACAAATGTACAGCTGTGCACTTCAGCGAAACCCTTGCTGGACACTCCTTTTTGATTAAATCCCTGTCCCTGCTTAAATCCTTCTCCCATCCCTCTTAAACTCCCAGCGCTCCGCCACCTGTCCTGCAGCCTCAGCAGGGGAGCTGCCTTCTGTGTCCGACTGAGACTATCCGTGCACGCTCCGTCTTCCCGCTGCCTGCCCATACACCCCCTGTATCTGGGCGTCCTTCATTTTCTCTTCTCAGAAGGAGGCAGTTCTCTTCCCTTCGGTGCTTATTCCTTGTTTGATCATGGCACCCTTTCCATCTGGAGTGAAGTGCAATTAGCCATCATCCCCGCTGGGTCCCTGAATTTGCTTTTATAAAATTCATGTCCCAATGGCAACTTTGATAGATCTGATCAGTCCTCATCCTGCTTATATTCTCTGTAGTCAGTATTTGGTTCTGTGGATCATCCTGGTTTTTTCCTTAAAATTTGTTATTTTCTCAGTTTCCAGGTACCACTTTGTCCTGCTCTCTTCCCACTTCTGAGAACATTCCTGTGCTATTTCCTTTGTTGATTTCACTTTCTCTTCCAAGTAGTTAAGTACTGTTTTTCTCCAGGGTTGCAACTTTACCACACTAGATCTTGGTTTTCTCATAGTTTCGTCTGTCATATAAATGCCATTAAATCACAACCAAAAGCCACTAAATCATCTCGGGTCTGTCTTTGGAGCTTCAGATAATAAATATGCAGCCTGTATTCACCATTTTCCCTATGATTATTTCAATCTGGACGTCCATCCATAGGTATCTCAAACCTACATACCCAACTTCCTTACACTCTGCAAACTAAGATTCCGTGTGTGTTGATGAATATATTTCACTAATGAATGTTATCCCATCTGCCCAGCAGACCAAGCCAGAAATCTGAATGTATCTTTATTCCCCATATTCAGATGGAAAAAAGTCCTATCATTTCCCTCTCTTGACATTTCAGTTCTGATCTCTTATTCCCACTATTCCTACTTTAGTTCATACATTTAGGATCCCTCTCCAGGACTGTTGTAACAGCTTTCTAATTTATCTGTTGGCCTTTAGCCTTGCCGTTCTCTTTTCT